GTCAGACAAATAATCAGTCTTTATTATTTAAGATCAGAATAATGTCGCACAGGAAGAAAGCCAAACTACGAGCAGCTTTCCAGCGAAAAAAGACCACCGAAACGATTTAAACAGCATTATAGAAAACTTCAACCTATGGCAAACCTATAACACACCAAAAGGCCAGCCAAAAGTCCAATTGCATGTCTCAATTAAATGACCCGGGCTTGCACGTATACTCGGCGGCGAATATCTCCACCACCCGACAGCAGACCGATAAGGTCAGGTAAATTTGTTCGAGCAGTGCGGTGCACATACGTTCTGGAAAATGGATCTGTTCCTCGAAAATAATAGTGTGTCTTGCATTCATTACAGATGCCTTGGGGCAGTAAGTCACATAAAACACGCCTGAACTGCAAGCTGACAATCCACTTAAAAGAGTCACCGAGCACCATAAGAAAGTGGAAATGTGCCCGTGCAAACGTTCCGTCAAGTTTATGAGGGCGCCATCCAACCAAAACGCGACGACTATACGGCATACGCGGAAGCACATTTCGCCAACTGGGTGCAGAATTGCGCCTGCTCTATCGTCCCCAGTGCAAGTCTGAGGGCCACTATGTGAGACCATGTCACGCCAGCCGGTTTTATTGCCGCATACCGGCCATGTCGAGCAGGCGACCTCAGACAGGCGACCGGTGCCGTGGCCGCTAGCCGCCCAGTGCAGTCCGGTCATGGGAGCGCCGCCATCCGGACAATGATGGCTTTGTCGCTGCGTGCGTGTCGGCGCCGTTGTTTTACATCGACAGCGAGTGACCCTTCAGCGGTGGTCACCGTTCGGTCGCTCCGACCCAGTCAATCGCTGCTATTGTCTCGGGCGGCAATGTCTCCGGAAACCAAACAGCAATCAGATGCCGTACGGCGCGGCGGCGGTCGGCACTGAGAGAGGCACAGGCGTCAGCAGGGAGGTCAACAGGCACTTCACCGAAAGCAGATGACGGATGTCTGAACCACCAGACCAACTGTCGTCGGGACTGACTGTCGAAATGCTACTCGGGGCTAGTTGGAATTTTGTCTGGCTGCAGCCTCACCAGACCACGTCGCGTGCCACCGGCGTCGAATAAAACATACCGAGAGCCTGATACGAAGGAGACACCCAGCCAACTTGGACAGACCGCACGGCCACGTTCCAGGATTTTCGTCAACTTCGGATGTAAACTTAACTTGGCAATCTGCAGCCGGCTAACGAAAGAGAGGTGGAGAATTAACTATGCGCAGAGAATCGACACGGAAAAAGCGGGTCGCAGCGACAGACACCGGCGCCTACCCGCACATCAACTATGCAGGGGTGGCGGAAAGCCACGGCGTTCAGCGCTGTCGCAGTTTTACTGCGTGCTCAGCCGTAAAGTTTGACAGACGAGGTGCATTGGCTAAAAAACATAGAAACGGCGATATGAAGCAGGGAGAATCGACCGCAGTAGGCAACAATGTTCGACTTCTGTCTTTCGATTGTAAAAAGGAACAACAATAAAACAGGCTATTAAATCATAAGTCCCACCTGATCGTCCCACCTTAAAATAAGTTTTTAGTTGAGATAACCAAATTGGGGTCCCTGGCTTGCATTTACGGTTCCGGCACTCAGAACACCGAGAACTGCTTTAATTCGGAGATATTTAATTTCAAACTTGCGGTTTTCAATTTGAATTGCTCCCTTGCGGTTTTCAATTTGAATGCTCCCTTAGAAGTTGTGACGTCAGCGAGATCTAACGATTTTTAAATCTTATGGGGGTGGGGGCTGGGGGCACCCCCGTTTCTCGGTGATATCTTCCAAACCGTGTAACGTATCGACACAAAACTTATAGTACCTTCAGCGGCACCAATTTCAAGTGTGTACAAATTTCAACTTTAATTCCAGCTACCATTGGTCGGCTGAAAATGACGTCAGAGTGCCGTCATGTCGGTCGATTTTTATGCAGAACATTGAACTACAGCAATCGTTCTCGAGAGTTCAGTTTTTAAGTTAGATCTAAGCTCTTTACATTAGTGGACTTAGAATTAAAGTGGCTATCAAACTACTATCACAGGTTTTCAAAATTTTGGTTATTTAGAAAATGACACATATACCTACGATTTTAAAAAATACCTATACCTATTTTTCATTTAAAAAAAATGACTTTTAGGAAAAAACGGAATGCATGTAATAGAACACCCAACGATGACCTACACTAGAAATGTATAGCCCATTATCTTTAAAAATGGCCAAGGTATACCTAGGTACCTATATATCATAGTAAAAATTTCACAAAATATATTTTTCAAATCAATTTTTCCGTGCGTTTTTTGACATCGTACAGAAATATAAATAGCACCATCGTGTTCCTGAGCTCAACCTGCATCTCATAGGCGGCGGAACGGGGGGAAGGGGCACCGGGGTACCGTACCCCCTTCTTTGATTTTCGCATAAGCTCTCATGGGTGTTGCATGGAAAGAATGGGACCAACAGTTGGCAGTGCCCCCCCCCCCCTTAATTGAAGGTCTTCCGCCGCCACTGCCGCATCTGATATTCAAAATCATCGGAATTTCAAAATTTGCTGTTGAAAAATTTCATTTTCAAAATTTAGCCTCTTTTGACCCGAAAGTGATCTGACCTCAGGAAAATTCAGCTGAAAATGACCTCAAATGACACAGACATTGTTTTGGAGATCTATGAGTAAAATGGACTATATATTAAACATGCGTCACGTGACCGATACATGATATAAAATTTCCGTGACCTAGGATGACCTTGCTTTGACCTGAAAAATTAGAAGTACAGGTTCAGAACCCTTAGGGTATCTAAGGCATATATCAAGGACTGCGTAAACCAAACCATGAGCCTGATCGACTTATAGTCGGCGGCCATAGCCTAAATTGTGAACAAGCCAAAATGCTGATAATTTTTACTTTGACCTGACCTCAGACCTGTGACGTCATCGGTGACCTCGAGGTCAATGAAATTATTTTCTACACAAAAGTTTTTCCAGGGCTATCAGACAACGTTTGTGCTTTGACGATCGGCCCAGTAGTTTCGGAGATATGACGATAGGCTCTGTAGAACCCCCCCCCCTCCGCTCAGTCACTCGCGTTATGGAAAATACCCCAGTCATTCGCGGGTTAACAAGTTGCATGAGTTTCTGGATGCGCCCACAGATAGTCTTATCATTCATAAAAATGCAGCTATTCTGCAAAGTGCATAGTCATATGCTCCACAAATGTGGACAGAAACAAAACAAAAATTGGCATCTATTTGATGCATCCCCAAACTTCAATGCTTTCGCCATGTCGAACTCAAGCTTCCTGGTGAAGAATAACTAGCAAATGGCAGTTGTGCGCATCTTTCTCCGAAGAGATGAATAACAAATGGGAAAATCCTCGGAAAATACTTCCAATAAAATAGAGGAATAGGTCAAACATACTTTATATTCAATCTTATGTTCTTAACCAAACTCTGTTCAAAGTCAAATTTCAAATTTAAAAAGTCCATCCCTCGGTCCAGCAAATGCACGGGTATCAATTGTGTACATCGCTCATGTTATGCGTTCAACATCACCCGGTGCGCTACATTGTCACTGACAGTCCTAGTCAAAGCCAGATGGGGAGAGGGAAACGCCAAAATGTATGCTTAGGTGTCCGTTTCTTTTCTGTGCACCGTGATAGACGTTATGTCTAAATCGGGTCTCAGAGGGGACCGGGTCACGCTCCCCAATGGACACTGGTGTTCATGGTGACCGTTCTACAAGAGCGACCCCAGCCGGGCTAAACGGGCATGGGCAAACGCCCACTTACGTTCCAATGTTGGATTCTTTCCATGCACTGACAATTGAAATGCACGTTGTGACTAACAAAATCGAAGAGACCGGTACCTACATGCGGACGCAAATGCCGACAACCGTTCTATGCCTCGGTAGCGGCCCCGTCCGGAGCTGAAGGGCGAAAGTGGGGCCAACCATCGAGGTGGCAGGCGGGACCGACTGATGGTCGGGTGTACGAGGTATTTCTTTTCGTGCATAATATTATACGGTGAAAATAGAGTCCTTATGGCAGCATTGGTATTAAAGGGGGAAGTTCCAGTTCATTCTTCCTCCTGCATCATTCCACATTTGCACTGCAGCGTGCGGTAAAAATTCACAACGAATTGAATCAGCCTATGGAAACTGGAAAGATATATTTTTATAGGGGCCATAGAGAAACATTTACAATGCTCGCAAACAGGATCCCTATTCTGATTCATCAACGGAAGGTACGCTAGCGCTTTTCTCCTGAAACTGTTTTAGGGGTCGCCTGATAAGTAACGAAAAGAGAATCCCGTGAGAACCTTGATGGAATCACGTTAAGAGCATGCAATGTTTGGAAACAAATCACCAGTGGCAAACAGAATCTAACAGCAGGCACGAGGCATGTTGGTACTATAATGGTTGCCCGTTGCAGGAGCCCTTTCTTCGCATAAGAAACACCTACCTATTTGTAAAACAAAAACATCCCAAACGTCATAAACTGTAGGTAAAGCCGGAACAGTGGAAAGAAAATAATGCACAGCCGTAGATATTCTCACCAGGATAGGGCACGGTGCATAAGAGAGGCGTGCGACAGGTCCATGGGTGTAAAAAGGCACGTGTGTCATTGTGCCACCGGCCACGTGCTATCGGTTTTGCACCATCAACAAAAGCGTCCGCCGCTGAGTTATATTCACCGTCTGGAATCAAAGAGTTATCTGCTGGATAAGAATCAGGGTTAGGTAGGTCAAGGTAGGTACTAAACGTTACTCCACAACGATGAATCAGCAGGTACAGTACAGACAGTGGAAGTTGCCGTCCGATTCCACCCTCCAGAGTCATCTAGAAACGGTGCTAAAAAATATCTCCCATCATCTGTGGTTGCATTGATTCATCATTCATGCATCGCAGACCGATCATGTTGCCGCTCCGACCAGCTGAAATAAATCGGTGACGGGTCAGCAATGCAAATGCGAGCGCAAGTAGACTCACCTGTTCAGGAGAGCACGCCCGGTACGGCCTGCCGGCACGCCTTCTTCAGTCGTGTCTGCTGGAGGAGCACGCCGCTCGCCGCCGCGTGGAACGCCCCCAACGACCAACAACAACCTGCGCGAGCGGAGCTCGTCCAGCGCCGCGCCGCCCGGGCAATAATTTTGTCCAGCGACCGTCGCCATAGAAACAGCGCTCGCTCTGTCATCTATTGGCGGTCAGTTGTACTAGGAGTTCTCCAGCTGACCATTGTTTAGTTTTGAAGGTTACCTACATAGGATACTAAGTATTTATCATATTACTCAATTTCTTCAGAAATGTTTTTATTTTTAACTGAATTTTGACCATATCACAGTAAATGGTATTTTTACTCTCAGAAACAAATATTGGTATAAGGTCCGTAAACAAGTATGGAGGTGCGCAACGCTGGCGCAACGTTCGTCGATTTGTATGAAATATCATGTTAGTGGGTAAAATCTTAAATATTCTTTTAATATTTCTAGCTAATAAACGTATGTTTGGCTTTCTCACTGTCAAAAGTTTTATTAGACATTTCTTTTGATTGGAGTCCTTGGGTGAACCACCACGAGCGCCCGATTTTTGGCATCGGGCGCTCGTGGTGGTCGGACGTGCTCGATCGAGCTCCTCACCCGTCCTCGGTCCTGGCCGTGATCAGCTGATAGCTCAAATCCTGACCAGTTGGTATCGCCTGGAAATCCCTTTTGTCATAATTTCCTAACACTCTTTGGAAGATACGACATCAAAAGGAAGTAAAAATACCAAATTGTTGATCAAGAATGCCAGTCCCTCGATCTCCGAAATTACAGCGTCGAAATACCAGCAAGGCGCCGGGGACGCAGGCTGAATCAGCTGACGATCGCGCGCCAAACCCACCCCCAACAAAGAAACCCAAGGTCAAAGGTGGAAACGGAGCGAACGGAGCTGGAGGCCTTGCCGGAGGCGACGCAGGTGGGAAAACTGAGTCGATTTTCGATGAAACTTGTGATGATAAGGGTGGTGATGGTGACAGCGAGGAAGACATAACCGAAGCCGATCAAGGAGGAAAACACGATCCGGTAAGACCAGCTATGCATCAAAGAGAAATCGGTAAGCTAGATGACAGCGTGTATAAAGTGTTTGGCCAAAGCTCTGTTGGTTCACTTTCTCGCTCATCCAGCGACACGGGTAGCGAGGAGGCGATATGCAAGGGTGGCCCTAATCTAAAAACCTGCGGGAACCCAGTAAAAGAGGGCGAAGACGGTGCCAAATGTGATAGATGTCACTTATGGTTTCACGCTGCCTGTCAAGGCATCTCAAAACCAGCGTTGAAAGCACTTGACAGGTTTGAGTGTCTCGCATGGCTGTGCACGGATTGCAAAGAGAGTTTAAAGACTAGAAAACCCCGCCCTGCCTTTGCTGCTTCGCTCGAAGGTAGGTTCGCTCAGCTCGAAGCAAAAGTCCAGAACCACATCGAGCACATCACAAAGTCTGTCCAAAGCCAAGAAGAGATGCTAAGGAACCAAGCCATCAACATGGAAAAAGCACTAGATGCATATGGTAAGCGTGTGGCAGATCAGGTGAGAGCAGTCGAGGCGCATGCAAACTCAGCAGGACCCTCCTATGCAGATGCTGTCAAGGGCACCTGCAAGGAGGTTGTTGAAGCGGTGAAAACCCAGCTGAGCTCACTCCCAAAAGGTAATGAAAGCACACAACACTCAGCCCTGGATCTGACAAAGGCTTTGGACGACCACTGGGACAGGGAGAGACGCAAAGCCAACATTGTCGTGCACAACCTACCAGAGCCCGAGGAAGGACCATTGAACGAGCGGGCAGAGAAGGATAGGCTGGCAATCCTGAAGATGATCAAGGATGTGATGAAAATAAGCGTATCAGCTTCTAAATCCTTCAGAGCCGGAAGAAGGTTGCAGGGTAAACCTAGACTGGTTATCCTGACCCTTGACAATCCAGCATGCCGAGCTGATATCCTGAGAGGAGCATCCTGGCTGAGAAACTCTGGGGAGTACTCTAACATTTATTTAACGCCAGACCTAACCCAGAAGGAAAGAGAGACCAACAGGAAGCTCCGTGAAGAATTGGCAGCTCGAAGAGGGGCTGGTGAAACAAACTTGGTGATCAGAAATGGCAAGATCACCCGTGCCCCACGTCAAGAAGAGGCAGGTAGCCAGCGGGCTGAAGGGCAACATGGAAGGAGGAGCCTCGGGAACACGGGGACCCGGGAGGAGGAGGGTAACCTGCACCAGCCAGTTGAAGACACTCGTGGGAGCCGTTCTCAGTCAAACCAGCCTGCGTACAGAGCAGCTGAATGACTAAGAGTGCACCCCAAAGATGTTAAGTCAGCAAAGGAAGACCTGACTGTTCTGTACACCAACTGTGATCAGTTCATCAACAAAAGAGATGACTTGTGTATGTTGATATGCAACAAGGAACCAGACTTGATTCTTCTGACTGAAGTCATACCCAAGGCCCAGAGATTACCCATTGACCCAGCTCTACTTCAGATCCCAGGGTACTCAGTGCATCATAACTTTACTCCCCTGACCTCGAACCTAGGGAGCAGTGGCATCCGAGGCATCTGTGTATATGCCGCAGAGCACCTTAAAGTGAGCGAAGTCTTTTTTGATGCTTCAACCACTGAAAATGTATGGGTGTCACTGTCACTAAGGGGAGGTGACTGCCTACTCATTGGATGTTTGTACCGCAGCCCATCCGGCTCCGCTGAAGACAGTATCAACCAGATGAACCAACTCATCCGTCAAGCATGTTCCGAGACCTTCTCACACATAGTGTTCGTGGGTGACTTCAATCTCCCCCATATTGACTGGTCGACACAAAGCTCTCCGGCTCCTGCAGGTCACAGTTGCCATTCATTTATTGACACCATCCAGGACTGCTTCCTCTTTCAGCATGTCCTCCACCCGACTCGTTATCGACATGGTGAAGCTCCCAGCATCCTGGACCTGATCTTCTCCAAAGAAGAAGGCATGGTGAAGGGGCTGGAATATCTTCCGGGACTTGGAAGTAGCGACCATGTGATGCTGCAGTTTACGGTCACCTGCTCCCCATTAGCAGGTGCTTACACCAGGATTTGCTCTGACCGCATTAACTTCAACCGGCTATCTAGCGTTCTTCAAGATGTTGATTGGTCTCCGATGGCTGCCATGGATCTGGACGGCGCCTATGCATTCTTCAAAACACAGCTTGTGAATGCCATCCAATCATGCTCATCCAAGAGGAAGAAACATGCAAATGTGAACTTCTACATGAATCGCCAGGCTTTCCAGCTGAGGAAAAAGAAGAAGTTGCTCTGGAGCACCTACTGTCGTACCCAGAGCCTGCTTGACCACGCCCGCTTCAAGCGCTGCAGCAATGAGCTGAGGAGGCTGACCAGGAGTCTTCGCAAGGATTATGAGAGGAAACTAGCTGCAGACCTAAAGCACAACCCAAAAGGATTCTGGAGGTACACCAACACCAGACTCCGGACCAGAAGCCATCTTGCAACCATGAAGGACAAAGACGGCTCTGTTGTCTCAGATAGCCAGAAGATTGCAAACATCTTGAACAGTTTCTTTGGCAGTGTCTTTACGGTTGAAGGACCTGGCACTACACCGACTCTAGACCGCAGCTTCAACGGTCCGTCACTGGAAGATGTCGATGTGTCTCCCCAGAAGGTTGAAGCAAAACTGGCTGCACTAAACCCACGAAGCTCCCCAGGGCCTGACAGTATCCGACCCAGTGTACTTCGTAACTCTGCGCGCGTCTTATCTTACCCCCTCAGTCTCCTCTTCAGGAAATCTCTGGACTCTGGATGTTTACCCGCAGAGTGGAAGACAGGGGAGATAACGCCCATCTTCAAAAAAGGAGATCGTCAGGAGCCAACAAGCTACAGACCCGTGAGTCTCACTGCAGTGCCGTGCAAAGTACTTGAGTCACTGGTAAGGGACAGCCTACTTGCACACCTAACCTCAACTGGCCAGCTACATCAGGCTCAGCATGGGTTTCTCCCCAAAAGGTCTTGCACCTCACAGCTCCTGGGGGTGATTGAGGACTGGACTGCTGCCATGGAAGAGGGAGTACCTGTTGATGTGGCGTACTTAGACTTCGCCAAGGCATTCGATTCGGTACCACACAAGCGACTCCTAGGCAAGTTGAGGTCTTATGGTGTGTCGGGTCGACTCCTGAACTGGATCCAGGCCTTCCTGTTTGAGCGCCTTCAAAGGGTGGTTGTTCGGGGATGCAAGTCAGCCTGGGCTCCAGTAACAAGCGGCATTCCGCAAGGCACCGTCCTCGGTCCTGCACTTTTCACAGTGTATGTGAACGACATGCCAGCACAGGTCACCAACACAGTGAAGATGTTCGCAGACGATACCAAGCTGTACTGCAAGATGACTGCCAACCACGATGGCCTGCAGGACGACATCGACGCTCTGGTCCGCTGGTCGGAGACATGGCTGCTCCCCTTTAATGGTGCGAAGTGCAAGACCATGCACCTAGGCTTCCACAACCCAGACCGCACGTACCACTTGAATGGAACTGCTGTCGCCACCTGCGAGGAGGAACGAGACCTAGGTATTATCATCGACAGGCAGCTGAGATTCCACAAGCAGACAGCCGCTGCCGTCGCCAAGGCTTCACAGATACTCGCAGTGATCCGTCGGTCGTTTGCGAACCTGGATGAGCTCACTTTACCTCTTCTTTTCAAGGCCTTAGTCCGACCCTTCCTCGAGTTTGGGAACGCCATCTGGGGTCCATTCTCCAAAGAAGACCAGAAGAAACTGGAGAGGGTGCAGCGACGCGCGACCCGCCTGATCACGGACCTCAGAGACCTGCCGTACCCTGACAGGCTTCGCCGCCTCGGCCTCCCATCGCTGCACTACCGCCGTCGTCGTGGAGATATGGTGACCGTGTACCAGCTCTTCCACGGACTTCTGGATGTGCCGCTTGAGTCACTGCTGACGAGACACGAAGCGCAAAACACGCGAGGCCACCAGTGGAAGCTGAGGAAACCAAACGCCAAGCATCTTTCTCGCAGGAACGCGTTCAGCGTCAGAATCATCAACGATTGGAACGCCCTGCCAACAGACGTCGTCGCTGCTGAGTCGCTGTCGTCTTTCAAGGCGCGGCTGGACCGGCACTGGTCGAGCGTGAT